TTGGTGGATCAATCTGTTTTCCAAATTTAAAATATCCAGATATATACAACTAAGTATATAATTTAGGTTGTTATACTACAATAGTATTTATTGAATAAAACTCACAAGCAGAGTAGAAGCAGAACACATGTAATATTCTAAGCTCTCATTTTGCACAAGGAATGTTTAGGCTAGAGATAACTTGATGGGTAATGGAAAGTGCTGTAGGGGAAGGGTCCATTTCACATACTAGTATATTTATTTATAGAGAAATTGAGAGGGGTACAGAGAAAAATAGATGATTCTCTAACTGTGAAACTCCTTGAGAAAGGGGAAGTAGACATGTTGATAAAAGGGGGTGTGGAGGGAGTTCACAGTCCAATATTGCAGGTATCAGTGAAAGATTTTGATAATCTCTGCTAAGCTACTGAGTGGGGAAAGGGAAATATCTGTCAGGGCCATGCAAGAGAAAATATGTTTATCATCCTCATTAACCAATAATTTGTTTTTCTTTCTTTTTTTTTTTTTTTTGTATTCAGTTAGCCACTGTAGAGTACATAATTACTTTTTGATGTAGTGTTCACTGCTTCATTAGTTAAGTATAACACCCAGTGCTCATCGCAGCCTATGCTCTCTTCAGTACCCATCACCCTGTTACCCCCTCCCACATTCCCTCCCCTCTGAAACTGCCAGATTATTTCTCGGGGTCCATAGTCTCTCATGGTTCATCTCCCTCTCTGATTTCTCCCTCTTTGGATTTCCCTCCCTTCCTATATGGTCCTCTGCTATTGCTTATGTTCCACGTATGAGTGAAAACATAATTTTCTTTCTCTACTTGACTTATTTCACTTAACACAGTCACATCCAACTCCATCCATGTTGATGCAAATCCTGAGCATTAATCCTTTCTGATGGCTGAATAATATTCCATTGTGTATATGTACCATATCTTCTTTATCCATTCATCTGTTAAACGGCATCTTGGTTCCTTCCACAGTTTGGCTATTGTGGACATTGCTGCTAGAACATTGGGGTGCAAGTGCCCCTTCTTTTCACTACGTCTGTATCTTTGGGGTAAATACCTAGTAGTGCAACATGAATCCATCAAAATCCTTGAGGAGAACATAGGCTGTAACTTCTTCAACACTGGCCACAGTAACTTCTTTCAAGTCACGTCTCCAAAGACAAGTGAAACAAAAATCAAAAAAACTTCTGAGATTTCATTAAGATGAAAAGCTTCTCCACAGCAAAAGAAATAGTCAACAAAACTAAGAGGAAGCCCATGGAATGAGAGAAGATATTTGCAAATGATATTACAGATAAAGGGCTTATATCCAAGATCTGTAAAGAACTTCTCAAACTCAACACTTAAGAAATGAATAAACCAGTCAAAAAATAGGCAGAAGACATGAACAGATACTTCTCCAAAAAAGACGTACAAATGGCTAACAGACACATGAAAAAAGGCTCAATATCGCTAGCCATCAGGGAATACAAATCAAAGCCACAATGAGATACCACCTTACACTAGTTAGAATGACAAAAATTAACAAAACAGGTATCAAACAAATGTTGGCAATGATGTAGAGAAAGGGGACCCTCTTGCACTGTTGGTGGGAATTCAAGCTGTACAGTCACTCTGGAAAAAAGTATGGAGGGAATAGAGCTACCCTCTGACCCAGCAATTGCACTACTGGGTATTTACCCCAAAGATACAGCCATAGTGAAAATGATTTGTTTTTCTAGTGTTAGATTAGTTTTCCTTTTTTGTTTCATATATTTTCCTTATTTTAAAGTTTAATTCTTATTTTTAATTATTTCAGTAATAACAATAGCTAAAAATTGTAGCTAGTCAACATTTTCAGTGTAAGATATAATTACACATTTACAAACTATTTCTAAGCAGTCAATTAGCTTTGTTTTCTCTAGATAAAATAATTCTAAGTATTTTTTTAATCATTTTTTTAAATTTATTTTCAACATAACAGTAGTCATTGTTTTTGTACCACACCCAGTGCTCCATGCAATCCGTGCCCTCTCTAATACCCACCACCTGGTTCCCCCAACCTCCCACCCGCCCACCTCTTCAAACCCTTCAGATTGTTTTTCAGAGTCCATAGTCTCTCATTGTTCACCTCCCCTTCCAATTTCCCCCAACTCCCTTCTCCTAACTCCCCATGCCCTCCATGCTAATTCTAAGTATTTTAACATTTCATTTTTCCAGGCTTTTAATCATTTGTATTTTTATTGAATCTTTTCAAGTTGTTTTAGTTCCTTTTTAGTTGAGGAGCCTAAAACTAATTACCATGAAGAATTTAACCAATGATAATTATAATTTTTAAAACTGTCAAAATATGATAAATTTTGAATGTTAATTTTACATTCATTATATTGAAATTTTCCTGTGAAGTTAATTTCTAGAATCATTTAAGGTTGTACTACACACTTTGAATCCTAGACCTTTTGTCTTCCTTGCATATAGAAATACATCCCACATCTTCTATTACAGATAAGAATATCAAATACATTCTCCTCTATATTTCTGTTGATAATTAAAAGTTTAGTGTATATATCAATATTTTGAAGAGAATTTTTTTTTCCTAAGGGAGGAGGGACATTCCTTGGGGATTGTGTTGGCAGTTTAGAAAATGGATGGAGTTAATATGGGAAGCTGAAAAAAAGTCTTGAAACAGATACAGACAGACAAAACAACTCAGGACAGGTTGGGTAGTAATTCAGTGGAAATCTTCCATTTTGCCTGGATGACAATGCATTAAAAGGGTGTTGATGATATGCATAACAGATTGTGCCTTCATTCATATATTTGCTTGGTGAGAAAAGGAGGCAATGCTCAGATCTTCAGGTTAACAAATGCTTTTGCAAGCAAGAGATTTATTCTTTATATATAATATATATATAAAGGTACATATATCTTTATATATATATTATATATATAAAATCATTATATATATAAAATACATGAAGATATATGTATATATATGAAATCTTTGTATATATAAAATATATAAAGATATATATATCTTTGTATCACATCAGTGATGTTGAAGACTGTCATGTAGAATGCTATTAACATCCTTGTTATTAAACCTGTTGAAATACATGCTCATAAGTATACTGTTATACTCTGTGTTTTAACACAGTGATGACTAGAAAGAATCTTAATCAAAAGTGGTTGACAAATGATGCAAATTTAGCAAGACTTATAAAATATATTTAGGTTGTTTCGAATAATTTACCAAAGAATGGAGATTGGTCAAATCATTATTATTTTCTGTGTGACTATAGGCTGATTTTCACAGACTTTCTCTCCTCTTCCTACTTTCTCTCCTCTTTCCCCTTCTTTTCTTCCTTTTCCTTTTCTTTTCTTTTATCATTCAAACAAGCATCAGGCCTTGAAAGTATGCCTATTTCCATGTCTTAAGAGATATCTCTTTGGCTGATGTGAGCTTGAACAGTACTGCTTGCATACTTTTCTAGCATTTTTCATTCTTGTCCCGCCTCAGCAGAAGTATTATGGTATTATGCAATGACAGTCCTTTATGATTGTGGGAGCCAATATAAGTGGGGGAAGCTTGCATGTGGGAATTTGGTTATAAATAAACTTTGTATTATATTCTTTGTATTGAATTTAAGGTTTTGTTCTTGATATTGCCACACATTTTCTCTCTTGTTATAATAGCGTCATTTGCCTGTGGAGAATCAAATGATTAATGATATCCCCTAATAAACATTTCAATTATCTTTTAAAGTATTTTGCTTTCTACTTATACGTGGTAGTATTAGTGACAGGAGTGGTGATTGTGTAGAGCAGCAGGTATGTTTGTAAAAAAGCATCAATTTATATTATGTACTTGAACAATTGTTTTTCTTCAGTGGCTGAAAAATGACAACAGTCCTCTAGGATACATCTTCAAAAATGGTTTCAGGAGAATGTTAGACTATTTTATAACTAGTCATTTTAAATTCAAATAATAAAACTAAAAAGTCATATTTGAGGTTGAGATATCATCCTTAATTTAGGACAGGCAGCAATCTATTCTCTTTACTTTAATATTGGAATCCATTTTATAACACTACTAGAAAAGTCTGTTTGTCATAAATTATGTCTTTTAGCCATCAGTTATCTTACACTTTTGTTCTCAGAATTGTCCTCCATATCCTTCTTTTTATAATCCAAAATATGGTGTTTGAAATTAATCCTAAAGTAACAGATTAGGATGGGTGACAGTAGTTAAACATTGTCAAATTTTGTATTTGTGTGACCAAAATTCAAATTATTTTAGGCACTGCAATAAACCTTAGGCAAATTATACTAACTGGAGTACTAGCTGTATAAAACAAAGAACCATCAAACTGTGTTCCTTTTGATAGAACTAGAAAATCTCTGTTAAGTTCTATAAAACATAGGTAGTTGAATCATTTAAATTATCATCTAAACTAGAATGCTGGGACACACTTACACTGAGACTGTGTGGACAAACCATGACATATGGTTACCCTAGTTCTGGAACCCTAATAAGCTGATCCTGCCAACTGGTGAAGAATAAATACTTATCACCTTGAAGAAAACTAACTCAGAGCTTGAAATTGACTCTTGTGGAAGACAGTGATCTTTTAATATTAAAACTGCTATAGAGAAATTTTCATTTTTATTTTCATTCTGAAATGAAATTGTGGAAAAATGACTGGAATAAATATGACTAAAGGACATCCTCTAAAACATCTTGTGTTCTACTTTGTCTGACCAAATATTTTTTGTTCTGTGCCTATTATGATCTTGAATAGCTCTTAAGTATTTTTAATGTTACTTAATTCTATTTTAAATCCCAGAAGACATATTATCTTCGACTTGTTATCTAGCAGCAACTTCATATTTGTATTACCATTAATTAATAATTATGATTGCTTAATATTCTCATAGATTATGAAAATGATTCTTCAATTACAAATAAAAATTTTTCTTCACATAATCTAATACCAGATGTTTTGTAATTCTAAAGCTCAGAGAAGAAAAGAGCTAGCTCTGCTATTTCAGATCTTTCACAGATCCTAAAGTCTCAAGATGGATCAGCTTTTTTAAGGAATTCAAGTGAAGTTTCAGCTGATAAAGACCTATCCCATATACTTCCATTAAAGACCCATGATAAATCATTAACAAGACTGTTATCAAAGGAAGAGATTGAAGATTTACTGTCTGCCAAAACATCACTTCAAGGGAATGAAACAGCAACAGCATCATTCATTTCACCTCCTGTTCTTACCAAAAGAAAGCCAATGGGTAGTGACATTTCAAAGGTAAGATATAGTAAAATAATTTGAAAGCTGTTTACCTTGAATTGCTAGACTCTTAATATTTTAAGCAAATGTCAATTAAAACTCAACATTTTCTTATTTAAAGGGAATAAAAAGTTTGCCTTTTAATACAATCTACTTTATATTTAGGATGTTTAAATTAATATTTGAGCATCAGAGTAATATTTTAACAAAAAATTCTAGCTGTATTGACAAAGAAGTTGTGATTTAAATTAGAGTTTTAATGATAAAATATACACAATTGCTAGCTGAGATAGGGAAATTTTCATTTCTTGAAAATTCATCTAGAAAAAGTATTTTTATATAGTAAGGTAATCATGAAAACATAGTTCTTTTGAAATGGTTTTATATACCTTAAGAAAGGCCTAGAAAATTATCAGAATTGTTTTGTTAAAACAATATTTGATTAGGAAACTCTTAAAGCAAAAATGTTGGGAAAAAAGAGAAATGATAAAAAAGGCTGCATATATTTAACATATATCTATAATATACTTTTATCATAGAATTTATTAAAGTGACTTAAATAATTTCATGAGTTATTTGAGTTAGACTAGAAACTTAATCAGACTAAAATATAAATCTAAAGTAGAATCCTAATTATTATTAAAATGATTTATTTGGAATTATTTATGAGGAGAATAACAATATAGCTTTGTAAGGTGTTCCCAAATTCCTTTCACATCCATTAATTGTTCTTATGTTTTTATTTGATGCATTCAGGACATAAAAATAAAACACTTATGCAGTGACATTGTAGATATGAGTAAAAATTCTTGCTCTGAGAGAAAGTAATTAGAGTTCTAAGATAGATAATTTGAATTACTTATTATAAATTTTGTCATTAAGGATGCTGCTATAGAAGAGAAATTACAAAATAAGACTGAAAAACAAACTTACCAAGTATCAAGAGAATTTCAAGGTAAAAATATTTTCTGTTTTATAAGGTAAAAATGTGAGTGTGTTTTCCCATGGTATAATTATAAATAAATGAAGAGAGTACATTTTTAAATTTGAAAATAACTCCTTGGTCAGTCATCACATAATATGGAAATATATTGACCAGTATGTAAAAAATAATTTGGTGAGTTAACATTACATTACCCAGAGTTTATTTCAACTAAGATTTGTATAAAAGGGAAGTGATAACTTTGCCTCCATCACTTAACAGTATTTGGCATTATGAATTTTTAACATATCATGCCAAAAATTCATCAGGGTACAGCAGAAAAAAAGATGATTTGTGGCATAAATAATATTTTAGCTAGATTTTTTTTTTAAAGATTTTATTCATCCATTTGACAGAGAGAGATCACAAGTAGGCAGAGAGGCAGGCAGAGGGCTCAGTCGGCTCAATCCCAGGACTCTGGGATCATGACCTGAGCCGAAGACAGAGACTTAATCCACTGAGCCATCCAGGGGCCTCTTAGCTAGATTCTTTAGGTGTTTTATGTAATATATTTTAAAACAGGGTGCCTGTGTGGCTCAGTTGGTTAAGCAAATGACTCTTGATTTCAACTCAGGTCGTGATCTCAGGGTCCTGAGATTGAGCCCTGCCTGGGGGTCTGTGCTGGGGGTGGAGCCTGATTAGGATTCTCCCTCTGCTCCCTGCCCCCAATGTGAGTGTGTTCCTTCTCTCTCTCTCTTAAAAAAAAAAATATATATATATATATATATGTGTGTGTGTGTGTGTGTGTGTATGTATGCATACATAAATATATACATATATGTGTATATATGTGAATATATATTAAAACTGATAAATTTGTTCTTCCTTTCCAACATATAAATTTTTATAATCAACCCATATTTTACAACATTGGCTTGAACTTTCAAAATAAAATTAAATGGTTGTAATATAGAGTGCTGGAGAATTACTCTTTTTTTGTGCTTTGAGTTGAGAGTTCCTCTACTGTTTTACCTATATTACCGTGTTACCTGAGATAAATAGTCCTTATTGTGATAAGGATGTTTTCTTTTATTCAAAGTTTATTACAAATTTTAACCAGAAGTTGGCCTGAATTTAATCAGTCTACTAAAATTTTTTATTATGATAAAATATATATTAAAAGGAAATTTGCCATTTTAATCATCTTTTTTTTAAAGATTTTATTTATTTATTTGACAGAGATCACAAGTAGGCAGAGAGGCAGGCAGAGAGAGAGGAGGAAGCAGGGTCCCCGCTGAGCAGAGAGCAGGACGTGGGGCTCCATCCCAGGACACTGGGATCATGACCTGAGCTGAAGGCAGAGGCTTTAATCCACTGAGCCACCCAGGCACCTCTTAATCATATTTTAAGTGTACAATTCAGTAGCTTTGTGGACATTTACAATGTTATGGAACCATCACCACCTGTATTTCCACAACTTTTCATCACCTTAAAAAGAAATTCATTAAGCAATAACTCCCATTTCTGCCCCTATCCAGTCCCTAATAACTTCTAATTTATTTTCTATCTCTATGAACATGCCTATTATATTTCATATGAGTGAAATCATACAACATTTGTCCTTTTTTATCTGGTCTATATCACTTAACATGATGTTTTTTTATTTTATTTTATTTATTTATTTGACAGAGAGAGATATCACAAGCAGGCAAAGAAGCAGGCAGAGAGAGAGAGGAGGAAGCAGGCTCCCCACTGAGCAGAGACCCTGATGCGGGGCTCGATCCCAGAACCCTGAGATCATGACCTGAGCTGAAGGCAGAGGCTTAACCCATTGAGCCACCCAGGCACCCCCAGCATAATGTTTTTAAGTTTCATCCATGATGTGTCAGAATTTCATTTCCTTGTGTAAAGACTGGATCATATGATAATTCTAATTTTAGCTTTTTTGAGTAACTGCCCAACTGTTTTCCACAGTGGCTGTACCATTTTATATTTCCACCAGCAATATAGAAGGATACACATTCTTGCCAACACTTTTTCTTTGCTCTTTTAATGATAATGATTCTAGTAGGTATGAAATGAATCTCATTGTGATTTTGATTTACATTTCTCTAATTACTAAAGATGTTAAGCATTTTTTATGTGCTTATTGGTCATTTGTATATCTTCTTTGGAAAAAAAAATGTGTATTCATGTCCTTCACCCAGTTTATAATTGGGTTCTTTGTCTTTTTGATGCTGATTTGTAGAGGTTCTTTATATATTCTGGAGGTTTTGTCAGACATCTGGTTTACAAATATTTTCTCCTGTTCTGTAGGTTGTCTTTTCACTTTCTTGAAAATGCCCTTTGATGCCTAAAAATAATTTTTTAAAGCTCAATTTGTTTCTTATTTTGCTGCTATGCTTTTAGTGTCAATATCTGAGAATCAATTGCCAAATCTAAGATAATAGAGACTTATCCTTCTGCTTTCTTCAAAAAGCTTTATGGTTTTAGCTCTTATATTTAGGTCATTGATACATTTTCAGTTAAATTTTTGTATATGATGTGAAGTAGTGATACATACAACATTTTTTTTTTTTTTTTGGCCTGTGGAAATTGAGTTGTCCCAACATTGTTTGTTGAAGAGGCTCTTCTTTTCCCACTGAATTGTCTGGTGCCCTAGTCAAAAGCAGTCAACTTCATGTATGGGTTCATTTCTGTGCTCTCAATTGTATTCCACTGTTGTATATGTCTATCCACATGTCAATATCACACTGTTTTGATTTATTTTTGCTTTGTATTGTGTGTGGGAAAGTGTGAGTTCTTAAATTCTGTCTTTTTCAACATCACTTTGGCTATTTTAGACCTCTTGCAATTAAATACAAATTTTAGGATCAAATTTTTTCATTTTTTTCAAATAGGCCTTTGGGAGTTTAATAGAGAATGCACTTAATCTGTAGATCACCTTGGGAAGTATTGCCATCTTAATAATATTAAGCTCCCCAGTTCATGAACTCAGATGCCTTTCCATTTTATTTAGGTCTTATTTAGTTTGTTATAGCAATATTTGATTGTTTTCAGTGTATAATTCTTGGGTAATATTATTCCTAAGTATTTTATTTTTTCTGACATACTATGATGGAATTTTTATTAAATTTCATTTTCAAATTAGTCATTGCTGGTTTTAGAAATACAATTGATTTTACATGCTGATCTTCCATCCTGCAACTTTGCTGAATTTAATTTCTATGTGGCATCTTTGAGATTTTCTAAATATATGAACATGTCATCTGTGAATAAAGATAGTTTTACTCCTTCTCCAATTTGGATGCCTTTTATTTCTTTTTATTTTCTAACTGCTCTTGCTCAGACTTCTAGTACAATGTTGAATGGTACTGGTAAAAAACAGACATTTTTGTCTTGTTCTAATGGAGAAATCTTTCACTATTTTACCATTTAGAATGTTAGCTGTGGGTTTCATAAATGCCATTTGTCATGTCCAATTTGTGTATAGTATTGTTCAAATCCTATATTTATTTGTGGATCTTTTATCTGCTTGTTTCATATATTTTGGGCCTCTTTTGTGTGTGCTTATGTTCATAGTTCTTATATATCCTTAATGAATGACCTTTTTGCCAATATATAATGGGATTCTTTGTCCCTTGCAGCATTTCTTAACTTTAAGTCTGTCTTGTCTGATATTAATAAAGATACCTATATTAGGGTTCTCCAGAGAAACAGAAAAAATAGGATATATAGAGAGATATATAGATACAGATATAGATCTATAAAAGGAGATTTATTATAATAATTGGCACATGCAGTTATGAAGGCCAAGGAGTCCCATGATATACTATCTGCAAGTGGAGAACTGAGAAAACTAGGGGTGTAATTCAGTCTCTGGCCAAAGGCCTCAGAACGGGGAGGCTGTGGATGGTGTAAGTCCCAGTCTAAGTGAACTCCCTAGAACCTGGAGTACTAATGTCTAAGGGTAGGAGAAGATGGATATCAAAGTTCAAATTGAGAAAGCAAATTCAACTTTTCTCCATCTTTTTCTTCTACTTAGGCGCTCAGTAGGCGGGCACCCTCCTATGTGCACCCACATTGATGAGGGTGATCTTAGGCTATTGATTTAAATGCAAATCTCTTCCAGAGACACCTTCACAGACACCCCCAGAAATTGTGTTTTACCAGGTATCTGGGCATTTCTTAGCCAAGTCAACACATAAAATTGATTATCACACTACTTTAGCTCTTTTGGTTAATATTTACATAGAGTTCCATCCCTTCACTTTCAATCTATTTATGTCTTTGCATGTAAAATGAATCTCTTATACACAGCATATAGGGGATTATGCAGTTTTCTTTAAACCTATCTGTCTTTTGATTGGAGAGTTTAATTAAGTGCTATTAAGGGAGAACTTACCAAGTTTATATTTGTTTTCTGTATGCCTTAAATCATTTCCCCTTCATTTCCTCTATTACTGCATTCTGTTTGGGGACTTGAATCAGCCAAGACTGTGTACTGAATTCACTGGTGAGACAGGACCACTGGTTTTGCTCTGCAGACAGGAAAAGCCATGGGGTGTACTCTCTGTTCGAGTGCCGCTATAAGCAGGCCTGTTGGGTGGGCTACATGGCTTTCCATGTGGTATGGTTAGGTTCCCTGGTCAGTTGGACTTAAGGCCATATTCAGCAGTGGGAAGAGCTATAAATTAGTTTCCTGCACAGGCACAGGGAGAACCAGCTCCACATCCAGAAAGGCTCTTTGTGATCTTGACTCATGCTAACCCATTCTGCAAGTTTTCTGACTGAATAGGACCACTTGCTTTGCTCTGCAAACTCTCAGATCTACCTGCTGGACTCTCTGCTTGAGTGTTTCTGGGCTGTACAGATTTGCAAAACTTCTGGTTGGGCCTACAACTTGGGCACTACAGATAGGAAATCAGTCTGCCTAGATCTGAGAACGGGTTGCTGCAAGACCCACTTCGATTCCCCATCACAGTATTCAATTTCATTCCCAGTGGTCAAACCCTTCATGTTCCCTTGCAATC